ATCCTCAACGATCCTCATGAATTAAGAAATATCTCCCTCCATACTCAAGCTACGTTCAATTAATTTATAACAATATTCCTAACAAAGCTGTTTACAAACAGTTCTTATTTTCACTTGTGGATCGTGCTTCCACCAATTAGAGGCTTGTCTTCACTTATAAGATCATGCTCTTACTATTTTGTCGGAAAGATAGGGCCCTGTATATATCGAGACCGTCCCACAACGTACAATAGAGCAATTTACAATTTCGATTTTCAAGTTAATTCCCAAAGAGTGTAAACAACGTGTTAAAGTGCCGTGAGCAACAAATTAAACACCGCGGCGCCTAGAAACTGCAGTGAATCACGTACTTAGTTTCATGTTGTGCACCAGCTACGCAAGCAATATCGTTCGTCTCGTTAAACACGGCCACGTTGTTCTACATTGCTGTTACGATTTTTCTTTTCTTTTTTTTTTTTTTTTTTAATACTTGTCCACGGTAGCTATTTTGACGACAGACGCGTTTGATTAAGCTTGACGAGGATTTTTCTACCGTGATGTACAGATGATCATTCAAATATGGCAATGCGAGATGGATAAATGGAATGACGTTGAAACATCAGAATTAATAGGCAAGAAGGGAATGTTTAGATATTTGTTTGACGGTTTCATCTAATAGGCGAAATTTTAATAAGTTTTCAAGTGATATTGAGTAATTTGTAGGATATGTCAGTGAATTGTGACGCGTGTAATTGCCGTGAGAAAATGTAAATGTGAAACTTTACATAGAACTATTAGAGGATATTCTTTTGAACTATTATGTTTAGCTAATATTGAAAAATATTGTTTTACAACTATTATTATATATATATTGATATACTATTGATTTACTGTTCTAAAGAATTCAACATAAAGATGATACAAAGAAATATAAAAATTGAGAATACAAAGTGTTAGGCATTGCTTTAAAAATTACTCAGTAAGATCTTAAAATTTGTTTATTTACAAAAGGATAAAACTATATTATTATTAGATCGATTAATCAAGAAAGTTTAAGAGAAATATTACTTAGAATTTGAATTAAAAGATTTAATTAAAAAATTTGATTTAAAAATTTAGTAGAACTCGAGAGCTACAAAATAAAACATTTAAGAAATTAAATTAAAAGAAATTAAAAATATGTATGAAAAATATTTTTTGTACGTTTTCAACTTTTTTTTTAGGATGAATGATAGTTTGATAAAACATTCAGTTCATTTTATTCTAATAACTATACTATACTCACACGAGAGGCAGTGTCACATAAAAATGATAGTAATCTAAAATCATGTGCTGCACTCTAACGATATTTCCCGAGGAAATCCGGCTGTAAAAGTCGATATGGAGTGGCGACGATAAGAAAATCACGGTAGTGACCTGAGAAATCTCAATGGTCCAGAAGACATCATTTGAAAAATTGCCGACTTTGCTCCCGGCTGTATGAAAAATGAACGCGTACTATAAACGGAGAGGGAATAAGTGACCAAGTCTGATGGAAATTAAAAGACAAGTTGTAAAAACCATCATAATCGAGTTTCTAGTTACCATTTTACGATTATATTATTATTGCTGAGAATTTACCATTGTCGCCTTGCGACAAAGTTTCAAGTTTGAACTATTATTTTTAATTAATATTAAAAACTATTCCTTTTTTAACTTTCTCATTGACTTTTGTTCATGATCATGGTATTTATATTTATTTTTATTTTTCGCGGATTACTGCTTCAGATCAATCTAGAAGCTTTTGGATATATTATTTTATATGAAAGTAGTCATACAGTATTAATATTTGTGCTTTAAGTCGACTTGAATCATGGTTAAATTTATATTTCTGTGTAATCAGATTTGTCAAAAGAATCCATTAAAAAAATGATTAAAAATATTACTAACAAAATTCTGAATAATTTATCAAATTATGATCTTGAGATATGATTATAATTATATGTATCTTGAGAGATATATAATAATGTACAATATTCATGTGTTAATACGTATATACATATAATACTGCATTATAATTATGAAAATATAAATGTATCTATTTAGTATACAATATATAAAGCTATATATATATATA